TATGAAGCTGTTCTCTAAAATACAGGCGGACCGTCTCTCCCCACATTTGACATCCTTGATAGATGCAGACCAAGTTGGCTTCATACCAGGGAGGCAATTATTTGAAAACACCTGTAGAACCATAGGCCTCATATGGAAACAATCAATTACTAGTACACCTACCTTAGCAGTTTCGATCGATGCCGAAAAGGCTTTTGATACAGTGAAATGGCATTATATGTTCACATTACTACAACACCTAGGATTCCCAGCGGAATACACCACGGCAGTAGGGGCAATGTATAGCAACCTTAGAGCTCAAGTTTGGATTTCTGGTGCAATACCCTCTACATTCCAGCTTTTCAATGGCACAAGACAGGGTTGCCCTCTCTCCCCATTGTTGTTTGTTATCTCATTGGAACCCTTTTTACAGGAGCTTAGAACAAACCCAGATATACATGGAGTGAGGGTGGGAGATAGAGAATTTAAAGTAGCGGCATATGCCAATGATGTCTTACTGACGATTACGAGACCAGAGATCTCTATAGGGGCCCTAAGCGAAGTCATAGCAGCATATGGGGAAATATCAGGCTTCAAGGCGAACATGACAAAATCTAGTGCACTCCCCATAGGGATGCAAATAACGGAGACCAATTGCATACATACCAAGTATCGTATCAAGATTGAAACGCACTCTCTCAAATATCTTGGGATTCACTTGACTGCTGATCCCGGGGATTTATATGCCCGAAACTATACCCCCTTATGGCGTACGTTAATACAAGATATGGAACGATGGAATGAAAAAACGATCTCCTGGATGGGAAGGATCCACTCGGTAAAGATGAATATCTTGCCGAGGGCCCTGTTCCTCTTCCAGGCACTACCGGTACCTCTGACCAAAACGCTTCTGAACCCACTTCAACAAGCTATTGGTAACTTTGTGCGGCAAAATAAAAGACACCGCATAGCTAGGCATATTCTATACAGACCTAAACAAAGAGGGGGTCTGGGCGTCCCTAATTTATTCTATTACTATGTGGCTGCACAGCTGACACAGATTGCTTTGTGGCACTCGCCCACCAATGAGCGGAAATGGGTGGAGATAGAATCACGAATGATGGGTGCGGATCTCCCCCAGTTCGTGATGTGGGTCCCTAGGGAACACAGACCTCTGATAAGGGTTACATGCCCGGCAGTTTTGAACTTCCTCAGACTATGGGACTCCTATGGATCTAAATTTAGACTGGCGTCTTTTCCCTCACCCCTTATGCCGATACTACGCAACAGAGCATTTGCCCCGGGAATGGAGGCAAAGAACTTTAGGAATATAGAACGAGCAGGCATACAAAGGATTAACCATCTCTACCAGGGTCCCGAGATAATCACTTTCGATGTTCTTAAACAGGGAAGACATCTAACACCTAACGATTTTTTTTAGATATTTACAGATTAAAGACTTTGCTAGACAGCCACATATAAAATCCATAGCACATAAAACACTGACCTTCTTCGAATCAATATGTCACTCGGAGATTATCCCCAGGGGTCTCATAATCCAACTGTATGCACACCTATGCACGGAAACTAAGGAATGGGGGGGACTAGCATACATCGCATGTTGGGAGAGGGATCTTGGTGAGGAACTTGAGGGAATAGAATGGCAGGAGATATGGGAGGCCAGCAGAAACACTTCTGTATGCGTGACATTACAGGAACAATCCTTTAAGTTGATGTTGCGATGGTATATGACCCCAGTTATGCTATTCAAAATGTGCAAAACCACTACAGACGAATGCTGGAGGGGATGTGGAGTAAAGGGGACATACTTACACATGTGGTGGGAGTGTCCTAAGGTTGCCAGGTTCTGGAAGATCATAAGGGACCTTCTCACACAGGTGTTTTCCAGAGCCCCGGATATGGATCCTTGGGTATATCTATTGAACATATCTAGAGATGGCTGGACTAGAAGGGAGCAAAAACGAATTCATAAATTCACCCTAGCTGTGAGAAGAGCTATAGCACACACATGGCTACAACCAGGTATGCCACACATTGCGAGCGTCATAACGAGAATTAGGGAAGTACGCTTAATGGGTGACCTGACTGCTAGGGTTAGAGGGACCACGGGGGCATTCCAGAAGCTGTGGGAGCCGTGGGATGATAGCCCATTGAGCACTTAGGTGCCGGAGGGGTCTTCGTGGGTTTGCCTCGGTCCCCCCCCTCCCTGGCCCCTCGGCCCCCCTCCTTCCTCCCGCCCTCTGGTGCCCCACTGTGTGTTTAGACACCCTGATTTTTCTTCTCTTCCCTTTCACTCTTTGTCTTTCCTGATCTTTCTATCCATTTTCTTTTTCTCTCTTTTCCTTCTCTCATCTTGTATTTCATGTCTTACTCTTTGAAACTCCTTTCTTTCTCTTTACTCTCGTATGTTTTACTATATCACAGCCCTGGCATCTACACGGCAAGTAGCAAGAGAACTATGGATACAGGGATCTTTATTTTTATCCAATAGGAAATGCGATTTGCAATGTACACATGTGTCAGCTTATACCGACATTACTTCTATAGCTAACTAAGTACCTGTGTTTCGGTTTGGACACATTACTTAACAATGTAGATTCATATCTGACCAGCCACGAAAAGTTTACTGTACAACGTTATTTGCTATAAAATGTATGTCTTGGTCATATCGACCTGCATTACTGTAGTGCACAGCAAATATATAGAATATACCTGGTAAGTGACAGAGGCACACGGTTACTGCTGGACTTGAACCAGCTTGCTGAGAATACAAGTCGGTTTTGGTATAAACATGATATTACTGATAATCAAAGTCATTACTTATGATGCCAATGTATATGTTTTTCTGTTCCAACATAACTGTGAAATGTGCATCTACGCCACACCTGTCCTGAGTACGCTACTGTTTAATGTTGCATGTTACATGATATATGTACAGGCTTTGTCGGATTGTGATTTTGCAATGCACAACTAAAAATAAAGAATAAAAAAAAAAGAAGGAGGAAAATTATTATAGCTGCACCTATTCTCACAAAGTAAGTGGACATTGTCCCTTTTAAGAGCTTAGGAACTGCATGATGGCATCCATCGTTCTCAGGTATGAATAACATGCCTGTTTTCCCTTTTCTAACGAGGCAATATTATTGCCTCTCCATCAGGATATTATGACACATAGTAATTTTGATGAATATATATATACACCTCTAAGGCTGTCCAGGTTTAATTGCCTTTTCTTATGCTATGTAGATAATGCAAGCAAATATCTTTGTGTAAACATGTTTCAAATCAAATCAGTTTGAAAAGTTGCACAACACATTCTATGAATAAAATATGTTTAATTCAATGAATTTAGAAAATAGAATCCAGTGAGCAGTTTGGTTCTAACCTTTAATTCATATATATCAAATGTGTTTGTATTTTTAACAGATCGGCAAATTCAATACAAAAGGTCACTGGTATCCAAAAGTTTTAAGAATTATGTAGATCATTTTTCAATAACTATTTTTTTCTTTCAACAAAAATATGCCAAGATTGTTCACTTGTCATCCAATCTATGGATGCTACATGAAAGCTATATACGTAAAATATCTATATTTTTTCAATGTTGACATTGAAATATGTATTTGCAAATAAAACCTGAAAATTACTTTGCGTGATGTAAGCGATACAATATAAATGTTTGATAAAGGCTAAGCAGAGATTGTGAAAGAGTTAGACAGGGTAGATATTTTAAGATCTCATTTTTTTGTAGAAAAAATGAGATTTGGACACCAGTAGTGATGAAAAATATAATATATAATGCAATGTGTTTAGATTAATGGAATGTTTGTAAGGTCATACTGTACAGTATTTCTAATGATAAATGGGAAACAGAAAAGAAGTTATGCCATCCATAGATTCTGAAATCTGTGGACATTTCCGCCAAAGTTACCAAATAAATAGAATATTAGTTATCAAAATAAAGCATTGGGACAATCTACACACTTATTGCAGACTAATCAAAATTGGGCAGTTTTTTTAAAATAGTTTTATTAATTTTAAATGATTATTTTGATATAAGTTCAATTATATATTAAAATTTAATTATTACATTAAAATATATTAAATTTCAAAAACTCTTAAATAAAACAATGTTCAAGCAAAATATAAGTTTACCCCAGACCTAACCTCTAGCCTTGACTTAGACCATAATCATGAACAAGTCTAAAGCACCGAAAGTAAACTGGAAGAGAAACAAGTAAAATAATTATCTTACTTTGAAACAATAGCAATGGACTGGCTGTACCAAATTGATAATGCTAAAAACGCCTCTCGCTGAGCTCTGTGAGCTGTAGTAAAATCTGGAGAAGAAGTTCCGGTTTTACCTGCAGGTCATCTTTCAGCATTCATACAAGGCAAGGAATGTTATCTTAAAAGGAACACTTCATGCATCATAACCACTACATCTTGCTATGCTGTCAGTAGTGTCCTGGCTACAGTGCCAGGATTGCCCTGGACCCCTCCCAGTAAAATTTGTGTAACCTTCTACAATGGTTTACAACATACCTGGGCACATGCAGTTTCATCCCCAGATCCCAGGTTATACTTTGCAAGATAATCAAGTTAGCTCCACTGAGCTAAGCAGCATGCCATATAGAGGCACACGCATTGGCTGTGATTGTCAGCTGGAGTATTTGCTGTGCTTAGGAGGCAAAGAGATATCTCGATTCTCTTGCAGGAAACTGGGCACAGTGCAGGCCCCTAGGGGATCCAACTAAATGTTTAATCTGTTTTAATATGGCTTGACAAAATACATTGGAATAGCACCAGGACACTCCTAGCACCATATCCACCAGTGTTCCTTTAAGTTTAACTATGTCTGAACGTTGGCACTTTCTTGGTCTCACAGACAGAACTGGCAATGTGAAAACAAAAAATAGAATTTCTCACTTCCGGTCGGACGGAGCAGTTGCATGTAACTGCAGGTCCGCGATCGTTAAAGCCTAAAAAGCGGCAAAAACATGGCGAAAGAGCCCGAAACGACCCTACCAAGGTGCCCAACAGCAGGGGAACCTCCTACCCAAGAGATGGCACCCCCAAAATCTCAAAGGGCATCGGACTTCTTCCGGCAGTGTAAGGGAGGGAAGCAGCGCATGGAACAAGATGGCCGCGGCTCCCGCTCACCCACTCACAGCTCAGACGCAGGATCAGACACAGATTCGAGGCAAGTAACCGCTGATGATCTATCTGTGTCAGAAAAGCACCTGGGGGCAATGCTGCAGGACCTACACACCTCTATGAAGACTGACTTCCAAGCTGCGGTCTCTGACATGCGCAAAGACATCCACGAAGTGGACACGGGTGAATGCACTAGAAGAAAAAACTGATGAGCTTTGCCACATGAATGACACCATAGTAGAGAAGATACAAAGGATGGACGCTGATAACAAACGCCTTATGGAAAAACTGGCAGATCTGGAAGATCGCTCCTGCCGCAATAATATCCGCGTGCGCGGGGTACCAGAAACAGTGACACAAGAAGAGCTGCCGGCCTACCTACTGCGACTCTTCCAAGCGATCCAACCAAGCCTAGAGCTGGCGGACCTCCGCCTGGATCGGGCACACCGAGTGCCAAAACCTCAAAACCTTGCACAAGAAGTGCCAAGAGACATTGTGACCAGATTGCACTACTACTCGGCGAAGGAAGCCATACTTGCGGCGCAAAGGAAGGCCTCAGCGATGCCGCCAACCTATGAAAATATCTCCCTCTTCACCTACCTCTCACCGACGACAATGGCCAGGAGAAGGGAATTCATTAACATTACGAAATGCCTCAGAAACAAAAAAATACCGTACAGGTGGGGATTTCCTACAAAACTCCTTATCTGGCGGAATGGCTCTCTAATAAAGATTGAAGATCCGGCGCTGGGAATGGACAAGCTCAAGACCTGGGGCTTGTTCCCAGACAGCAAAGCATCAAACACCCAAGCCTCCCTAAAGAAGGTGACCGCGGATTGGTCCAAAGCCTAAAGGACACTACCGCCACCCAGAAGGGGGTGCCGGCTACAGCACGACTCAGCCACTCTGTTAAAGATCCGTGAGACCCCCCATGGTGACCGCCCCAATCATCTGGGAATGGCATAGCATGAAGGACATTCAGAACCCACGGGAGTACTCTTACTCGCCCTCACCCCCTCCCCCCCAAAACCCAGCACAAAAGAAAAAATGACTCTGCCACACCACAGCGCAACTTGGACCACCCTGTCACTGCGAGACCTACCCCTAAGCAGTCAGACTCGCTGCTCAGAACCTGGCAGAGACTGTCCACTAAAATCTAAACCCAGCAAGGCCGGACAAAAGGCCGAAAAACTGCAGGGCGCAGAGGATGTACTCACCCCCCACCCCTCCACTCATGGACTTATGCAAAACAGCCAATGCCACCTACCTCTTCGAGTGAGCTGGGCTCAAAAAGAGGTACAGGCCTCACCAAATATCAGACGCCCCCCCGATACACTTGCGGGACACCGCCTGCTGCTGTGACCCCATCTCAGTGCAGTAGAGGGTGCGAGCTCGGCAGCAGGGTCCCCCACATAATGCTTAATAGCTGTTTGAAATGTATATACTTTATTTCTGTTTTATGGTTTTGTTGCCTAGGTTATGTTTCAGGTTGTTCCCCCTGCCCTAACACCCTACCCGAGATGCTCCCTTTTCACTACTGGGTACGACGAGGGGAAAAAATAGCCTCACCCCACTAACTCTGTCATGTAGTGGCAATAGGAAATACTACACCCAAACAACCGGGCCCCAGGGCCACCCCAACTAGTTAAAATGGCCTCCGCCAATAAATTCCGCCTGGTGTCTCTAAATGCCCATGGGCTGAACACCCCACAAAAACGAAGGCTGGCGTTCTCCCAATTACACACCCTACACGCTTCTGTAGCATGCATACAGGAAACCCACTTCTCAATTAAAAATCCACCAAAATTCTCGTCCACATCTTATCCACAAGCCTACCATGCCACGGCACCGAATAAGACACGAGGTGTTAGCATTCTCTTCCACTCTGATTGGCAATTTAAATGTGAAGCAGAATACAAAAGCCCCGATGGCCGGCTTCTAATACTAGTAGGACTACTAAATGACGTCCAGGTGACAGTAGTCAACCTATATGCCCCCAACACCAACCAGTATGACTTCATTAGGAAAGCTTTACAACAAGTAGATAAGAAGAAGAGAGGGCAGACGCTTATATGTGGGGACTTTAACTGCGTACTGGACCCTGCTCTAGATAGGACCGGCAAACCCTGCTCCCACTTGCGATCCACACAACTAGGGATGAAAATGACAGCGCTCCTCAACTCACACGGCCTACACGATACATGGTGTTCACTATACCCAGCATCTAAAGACTACACGTTCTATTCCAAGGTACATGATCGATACTCCCGGATAGACATGTGCTTAGTGGATGGGAAAACGCTAGATACCCTGGAGGAGGTATCAATTGCCCCCTTGACTTGGTCAGACCATGCCCCCCTTACATCAGTCTTTACCACGCTCCACCCGGTCCGGGGTCAGGGTCAGTGGAGACTAAACGAATCACTGATAGACAATGTGGACAGGGCGGCCGAGATAAGGTGCGCCTTGGCGCACTATTTTGTAGGTAACCACTACACCGACACGAACGTCGCTATGACATGGCTTGCCCATAAGGCAGTAACGCGCGGTCTGCTAATACGACAAGGGGCAAAACTGAAGCGCCAACTGACAGAAAATAGTAGGACCCTACTGACCGACTTAAAACAGGCAGAAACACGACACAAGGCCTCCCCCACACACTCCAACAGGCAGGAGGTACAGAAGATAAGGGCCACCATAGAAGCACTACAGATGCAGCAAGTAGAACGGGCAATTCGTAAAATGAAAACCAACTACTATAGACAGGGTAATAGAGCGGGCAAAATATTAGCCTCCCAACTCAGGGAACGCACCTCGCAGGCAAAGATCCCATATATCAAGGACGACACGGGCACCAAGATTAGAAACCCCAAAGCAATAGTAGACAAATTTGCCCAATTTTACGCAGGGCTATACAACCTATCTGGGGACACCACCCAACACCAACCCAGTCCCCAAGATATTACTACCTTCCTAGAAGGGGTGATTCTCCCTCGGCTTTACAACGAACAGGCCGCTGCACTGACCAACCCAATTGTAGCATCTGAGGTATCAAAGGCTCTACACGACACACCCAGACATAAAGCCCCAGGCCCAGACGGCTTCTCAACCCACTACTACAGGGTTTTTGAGGACCAGCTACTCCCCCACCTCACGGCCTTATTCAACCACATCCTAGAGTCGGGTGAGATACCCCCGGAAATGTTGGAAGCCACATTATTAAGCTCCCTAAACCTGGCAAAACTACTGATACATGCGCAAACTACCGCCCAATCTCACTCCTCAATGCTGACACAAAATTGTTCACCAAGACCCTTGCAAACAGAATACACCCTACACTAGCTCAATTAGTATCCCCAGAACAATCAGGGTTTGTCCCGGGGCGACAAGTGGAAGATAACACCAGACGAGCCCTTGACGTAATGGAACTCATGACTAGAGATCGGTCACAGGGCTTAATAATGGCCTTAGACGCAGAGAAGGCCTTTGATAGACTCCACTGGGGTTATATGACAGAGGTCCTTCGTAGGTTCAACTTCCCGACAAAATTCCTAGCTGGGCTCTTATCCCTTTACTCGTCCCCCCAAGCCACAGTCATGAACTCCGGTTTCATCTCCAGTAGATTCACCCTATCGAATGGCACAAGGCAGGGATGCCCCCTGTCCCCCCTCATTTTTATCCTGGCACTGGAGCCCCTGCTCCATAAAATCAGGACTAACCCCAGCATGATAGGCGCCCCCTACCCGATAGGCCCGCAAAAAATGTCAACGTTTGCTGACGACATCCTTCTCTTCCTAACAAACCCTTCGGACTCCCTACCGGCCCTCCTGGACCTACTACGGGAATATGGCCACGTCTCTTACTACAAAAACAATGTAGCAAAAACACAGGTACTCCCACTGAACATGCCCAGATCCCAACTCACGACCCTACGAACGTTATATCCCTTTGAATGGAGGAAGGATACCATTTCCTATCTAGGCACACAACTAGCACCCTCCAAACAGCTCCTCATAAAACATAACCACGGGCGTCTCACAGTAAAAATAGAGTAGGTGCTGGAGGGCTGGGGAAGCAAAAACAAACACACATCCTGGTTGGGGCGCATCAACGCCGTAAAAATGATTATACTACCGCAAGTATTATTTCTATTCAGGGCCCTACCCATCAGTTTACCAAACTACACCCTCTGAGCATTTCAGCGACTCATCAACACACACATATGGAGAAAAAAACACCCAGAATCTCACTAGCAAATATTAGCACAGCCATGGGGGGAGGCTGGGTGGGTGTGCCACACATAACCAAATACTACCTAGCAACAAACATATCTCAGATGGCGCGCTTCCTCTCCACCTCGAACTGCCCACTGTGGCATAGACTGGAAAGTGCGGTCTGTGCGCCCTACTCCCTCAGGGACCTGGTTTGGATCCCAGCCAAGGCCCAACCTCGACTCACGAACCCTCTCACAACAACCAAGCTGTCCCTGCAGCTATGGTTGAGATGGGCCCCAAAAATGCTTAGTGCAAAGACAGAGACCTTTGCCCCACTGACAAGTCTCCAGCACCACACACATGACCTGGCCCTGGGTGAGTGGGTGGACAGAGGGGTAACGCAGATAACACACCTCTATGGAGCAAATGGGCTGCTAGCGTTCCCGGACCTCCAGAGCAAATACCATCTACCAAACAGCGAAATATTCACATATTTACGCATAAAACATATATTAGGGGCCACCGGCAAGGAAAGGACACCAACACAACCCCAAAACCACTTTGACTTGCTATGCCAAGGTCTAAAACACCCCAAAAAAACACTCTCCCTGTGTTACCATAGGTTGCTAGACATAGACAGACCGTCCAAACAATCATACATGCTCAAATGGGAAAGAGAATTGAATTGCGACCTCGAGCATGGGAAGTGGATAGGGGCCATGACATTGGTTAAACGGGCGACAAAATGCTTAGACCATGTAGAAACAGCCTACAAGATGTGGATGCAGTGGTACTACACACCACACAGGCTGGCCCAAATATACCCAGGGGTGCAGGATAGATGTTGGCGCTGCAACCAACAAGTGGGAAACACGAGCCACATATTCTGGTACTGCCCGGCACTCAGCCAATACTGGCAACAAATCCAAGACATAATTAAATCCAAACTAGGAAAACAATTACCACTCAAGCCTGAACACTATCTGCTCCACATG